CTTCCATCTCCTTGATTAGATCTATTCCTAGGCATTTTATTTTTCTTTGAGGTTACTATGAGTGGTTTGTTTTCCTAATTTCTTTCTCAGCAAATTCATTGTTGGTATATGAGAAAGCTATTGATTTTGTATATTGATTTTATAACCTGCTACTTTGCCAAATTTGTTTGTTAGCTCTAGCAGTCTTTTGGTAGAGTTTTTTGGACTTCTAAGTAAAAGATCTTATCATCTGCAAACAGTAATAATTTGACTTCTTCCTTTCCTATTTTCTTCCCTTTTATTTCCTTCTCTTGCCTAATTGCTCTGGATAGAATTCTAGCACTATATTAAATAGGAGAGGTAAGAGTGGACATCCTTGTCTACATACCTACTTCTGCCCAGTATGTAACAGCCAATATAAATGATTGTGTTAATTTATTTCAATTAGTTGATCTGTCCACAAAAATAGAAATATGGATAGATAGAGATAGAGCTATTATTATATAACTCTAAAATCTTAGAAAATATGGAATTTATTTTCTTTTGCATAATATTAAGGAAGACAATGTCTTAGTCCATATGTATTTCTTCTCTTTAACATAATTAATCTTGGGAAAGGGAATAATGAATATCTATTTTTATAAGAAAAAAATTGCTTTATATTTGGGTTTTAAAGTAATTTGAATTAGATATGTATGGCTCATCATTTACCCCTATATCTCAGATCTTAGATAATTTTCCACTTCTTTTGAATGAAAAGTACCTGACTTTTAAAAATTTAAGCAGGACATTCACATGTAACTTGTTTGGTAAGTTTTGTGTACAGAGAAAACATCTGTGTGAAAATTTCATTTTAAAATTTAGGTTCTCTTAAAATTTCCAATTCTTAGTTTCTATGCTTTTTCAGAGTCTCTTAAAATTCTCTTTCAATATTAAAAAATAAGTCAGCAGTTATATTGGTGATGAGTAAAAATATATTTATTCTCCAACCTTTTCATGTTTTTGTGTAAGAGAAAGGTGGTAATGATAATGTCAATAGCTTACATTTACCCATAAGGAAAAGATCTTGAAGCCTCCTGTGGAATTGTTTTGGGAATCTAACCTGGTAAACCAGGCCCTTGTCAACATATGATTTTAGAATTTAGTGGAATAATCTGTTATTTCCCCTAAATTGAAAACAATTCTAAGACATTTTGAAGTACCTTCTTGGGATTATAAATGATGTACAATGAGGACATAGGTATTTATGCAGTGACTATACTATTACACAACATTCAATTCTATGCAAATAGAGTCTCATTCTTCATGCGGTGGATTACTAAAGTTGTGTTGATTGTCTAATTTAGGGGCTTAGTACACATACTTATCAATTTACAAACAATGTCTGGACATTGAACATTTGAAACAGGCCTATGGATTACTACAGACACCTGTATACAATCACTGGTCATTAAGGGACAATGGAAATTAGTAAATTTAAAGGAAGTCCAACAATGGGAGATGCAAAAGGAGGAGATGGCAGAGGATGGGGTAGATAGAGTCTGTCTGAGAAAAAAGGAATGGAAAGGGAAATACCCACTTTATTTAACATGGCATGGGCCTTATTTTCCCATTGTACAGACTAGGATGCTAAGGTTTGAAGAGGCTGTGATTGATAGAGTCAGGAATTTTTATGTGCAGATTTAGGAATAAAAGCCAAGTTTATCTTATTCTTAAGGTTTTTCAGAGACTTGAAGTAAAAGCCAGATCAGCTGTTGCATCCAGGCAAAATTCATTCCCTGGCCTTAGGCTCAACTAGCTTGTCCTGAATAGATAGCTGCTCTCCAGTCCTTAGCAGAGCCTGGCCTAGGGATCTGGGGCATGTGAACTCCAATGACCATGGCATGGAGATAAGGGCCTGGTGGGGAGAGGTTGATGTTTGGGATGAAGAATGGACAAGGGAAGGGGGATTAAGAAAGAAGTTGTGTGGAAAGAGGAAATAACCCAGGAGTTGCCACTGAGCTCTAGAATATATTGTGATAAGTTCACTTCAGTGTCCCATGCAGGATACCGTAGGTGTATCTCATTTCAATAAAGGCTATTAAGTTTTTCATTAATAGAGACTACAGAAAGCACAGAAAATATAAAAAGGAAATGGGAAAAAAGTGTTCTTGTTTGGTAAAACAACTGCTATTAAAATTTATTGTAACTATTTCCAGGCATTTTTCTATGATATTATAAATATTATGGTATTATGATCATGAATGATATGTAATTATTTGTCCTGCTTTTGTCACATAACATTATATAACAAGCATTTCCTATCTTATTAGCATTTAATATGTGTTAATTATATTGTAATTGTACATAATTATATAAAAATTATAATTTAAATTATGCTATCTGGAAAATGATAAACAGTTCTATCAGATACATACACTATAGTGTTTCTAATTTTGGGGGGGGAAGGTACCAGGGGTTGAATTCAGGGGCACTCGGCCACTGAGTTACATCCTCAGCCCTATTTTGTATTTTATTTAGAGACAGGGTCTCACTGAGTTGCTTAGCACCTCATTTTTTCTGAGGCTGGCTTTGAACTTGTGATCCTCCTGCCTCTGCCTCCTGAGCCACTGGGATTACAGGTGTGTGCCACCACATCCAGCTTGTTTCTAACCTTTTTTGTTGAGCATTTAGTTCAGATGATCTACTATAATACACTCCACAATGGAGTAACTGGACTATAGAATTTTTGAGGACCTCAGACAGTTGGGGCAACTGAAATCTCACGCAGACCTTCTTAGAGTAGTACCTGTTTCTGAACTTGAACCTCATGCTTGGCATCCCAAAATTCAGTTTTTTCAGGACCAGGCATGATTAATTCTTACAAATTATGTTGTAATTAATTGAAACTAATTTATAAATGTAATTAGAAGTACCAGAAGTCAGGCACATATGTTATGATCTCACCATTATGAAATCTTTAAAAAGTTTTAAAATTTTTTAGTTATTAAAAATTTTATTTCATCATGTAATTTGAGAAAAGAGGGTTACCAGAGACTAAGGAGAATAAAGGAGGGAAAGATGGAGAAAGGTTGATAAATGGGTACTAAATCGCAGTTAAATAGGAGAAATAAGCTCTGGTGTTCTTTTGTGCAGTAGAGTAACTACAGATAATGATAATGTGTATTTCAGAAAAGCTAGAAGAAAAGGAAGGTATTGTGTGTATTCACAACAAATGATAAATATATAAATATTTAGGCTATATACTTAGCCCCTTATTTGAACATTATGAAACGTATACATTTAGTGAAACACCATTTGGTGCCCCATAAATATCTATAATTTTATGTATACATATAAAGATATAGATAAAGAAAGTAGAAGTACCACATGGAGAGTATGGAAGTCATTAGTACTATTTGCCAAATATTTCTGCTCTTTATAAACTTCCCACATACACTGTAGAATTGTTCTTCCTGCTTCCTGAGGTTGAATGGGGCATGTGTCCAGTTCTGATGAGGAATTGTGTTTGAAAGTGAATATTGATTTGCAAGAGGAAACTCTGTTGAGTTTTCTTCACCTCTCAGGGACTGCTAATGTTTGAGAGGGTGGCTGCTCCAACATCCCACAATGAACATGAGAACAAGCAATCCAATTTTATCATTGTAAGTCACAAAGATTTGGAATTCGATTGTTACTACACCATGCCCCAGCCCATCCTGACTGCAACAGAGGAGATATTAACATTAGCATGCCCAACATATTTTATCTCTGTAAAGAGAAATCAGCTGAAGTTAAAATATTTGCTATCAGGAATTAATCAGAATAAAAGAAACAAATTCTATTTTTCAACTGTTTCACAGCCTTTGATTAAGTGAACAGTAAGGTTTAAGGTGAATTATGACTTTCTCCTCCCAGATAAGATAGTCCAGGCTGGGCAATGTCGATGTTCACTTCCGAGTCTCCTTTCTGCATCTTTATTGATGATCAAGCCAACTTCTGATGGTCACAGTCTTTCTTTGATGCTTTCATTTTAAGCCACACCATATGCTAATTAACAAATGAACAATTTAGAATTGAATGAAATAAAATGGAAAAGATCAGCTTCCTCTCCTTCCTACCAGTGTGCTCCTAACAAGTTCGAAGTTCGGAGGATAACCTCCAGGCATTTTCCCTGTGGTTCTAAGTACAAACGGAATCCCACTCTTCATATTCCTCTGTGCTTTGCTTTTTTCATTTGGTCAGTGCATGGGGATCTACCTGTTTCTTTTTAATGACAATGGAGTTCTCTGTTTCAAATATTTACGATCCTTTATTTACCTAGCTTCCTAATGATATACAGTTTTGGAACTTTTTTATTGTTATTTCATTTTGGTTTTGCTTTTCCAGTCTTTTGCTATTGTTAGTAATGCTCCAATGAACAGCCTTATAAAATATATCTTTTTTGCATACTTGTGTGAGTTCATTCAGAAGGAAAATCCCAGAATTTAAATTATGGGTCGAAGGGATTTGTAGTTTAAGAATACCAATAAATATATGTAATTCCCTTTCCAAAGATCAAATCAATTTACATCCCTGCCAACACAGAATGAAAGTTCTTGTCTTTTCCCACTCTCAAGAATATGAGGTTTCATGAAACTTGTCAAAAAAATCTCTGACATTATACTCATGAAATACAACATGACTTTGTTGATTTAAAGCTCATGTCCTTAATTATAGGTGGGTTTGTGCTTGTTCTTTCTTCATATATAATAATGGCTTTGGTCAAGTAGGGTGAGACCTGGGTAGCATTCTTTCTCATTCATTTGTGCTGATTGTATTTATTTGTATCTTAAAGAATAACCCCATTTTGAAGCCTTGAGGGAGCATCTCATTGTCACCCCTCATTTACTGAATAAGCAGAGCTCACAGCGTTTCTAAGACCTTGATATAAATATTGCAGCTGGGGCTTTTTACAATGACGTCCTCAAGGCAGATGGACTGGGAACTGGCCAGCCCTTGAACCTCTCAGTTAATTGATGTGACATATTCTTTCATTGCAGCAATTCAGTTTTGTGTCCTTGCCCACTGATGTGCTGGAAATTGAGGTGAAAGACAAGTTTGCCAAGAGCCGCCCCATCATCAAGCGCTTTTTGGGAAAGCTGTCGATGCCTGTCCAGAGACTCCTGGAGAGACACGCCATAGGGTAAACCTGTGACTGGGATCTCATATCACTAGGCTTCAGCCAGTAGGCCATGCCCCACAATGCCTGTAAGCTGCAATAATAGAGTCTTATGGAGAGTTAAATTATAACAGAGTTATGTTTCCTTGGCCTCTCCCCTTAATTTTAATGCCTTAGCCACAACATTCAATTAAATAAATCCTTCCCTTTTCTTTATTTGTGTATGACTGGTTATATGTGCAAGACAATACAAAAGTCTAAGGTAATAACTAAAATAAACCATCAGTGAAGCACTTTTCTATAAAGGTAGAAATGGAAGTTTGTTTTACTATAAAGAATATCATTTCACTTATTTACTCTCTTGTATGTAGGATTTAATCATATGTGACATTTCCATAGCAAGGTGAAATGCAAAATTACTTGGATAGAGTTTCTCAAGAGATGCTAGTGTTTACAGAAAATGCTAGATAGAACAGATGAAATTTTGAAAGCATGCATTCTCATGGAATACCAGCAATTATGTTGTTTGCAAAATCAAATTGTATATGAGAATGTCTCTGAGTTTTGGACCTTTTACTCTTGTGTCCACTCATGGTTCTTACTAAAGTGAACTATGGCCAAATAAACTTTGTATGTATAATATGTATTTCCTTGGGTAACAGCAACTAAGTATAACTCTGGCTATAAACATATGCTTTCATACAATATAACCCTCACAATAAGTATCAAAGGATGAGAAAAATTATGCAGAATAGTCACCTGTCTTAATTTAAAGTTCTTTTGATTTTCAGAAAGACTTTGGCAGCACTAATAATTACCAGAAGGATATTTAATTGAAACCTTCTAGCACATGTGTAGCTGTGTGCACAGAGACATGCCACTGCCTCACAAACCGAAGGGATTTGACTTTACAGAGCCCGCCCAACAGTGTTTGCACTTCATGGTTGCGAGGATCATGCAAACAAAAAGTCTACGTAAAGAACCTAACACAGTCACTGGCACATAGTAGGAACTCAAAAGGGAATGGTATTCCTTGTGCTCTTCATTATTCCATTTAATCCTCAGAACACTTCTGTGACTTGGGCATTATCACTGTTCCTCCAATGTGAAGAAATGAGGCTTAGAACAGATAACTGATTACCTAAGCATATGGCTAGTGAGTGGCAGAGATGCAGCCAGGGTCAAACACACAGGTGCCTCTCTCCAAAGACCAAGTATGCCCAGCCCCTGACAAAAGGCTCCTTGCAGGGTTCCTGGGACTGATTCAGCTTATCATTGGTCACACTTTTCATTTCTTTCCTTCTCTGGTCTACTGTCTGCTCTCACCCTGTTAGCACTGTGCCAGGGGCAGGATGAAGGACAAACAGAGGAGCTGAGTAGGGGTCTTTCAACCAGAGCACTGAGCACATTGCTGCCTACCATGTATTAGATATTCAGTTAGCACCTGTTGAACTGAACCTACCATTACAGGTGCAGAGGGAACCTACCTGCTCTTCCATGTTGAGTACTTTTCATAAGTCAGAGTGTGGCTCATTTCTTCTTGTCATGCCCCTCTCCCAGCCTCCTACTATGGAAAGGTACCAAGTGGTGAAAACAAGAAAAGGGTCTCCCCTGAACTGAGCAAAGTTAGCTCCATTTTCCTAGTGTCCTTATCAAATAGGGAAAAGGAGAAGCACAGATGAGAGTAACTGAGCTTAACCCCTCTCTAAAAGGAAGCAAGCCAGGGAGGTGCTCTCTTCTCCCCAACTCTAATGGGATAACACACCACGCCCCTGGTGGCCAGGGAAAGCAACTTTTCCTCCAAGACCTGCCACTTCCCACTGCCCCTTGAGGCCACCTCACCTTGCTGCCCATGCTGGAGATGTCCCAATGTAGGCAGGAACAGGGCATTGGAGTGATAGCCATGAAAGCTGTAGTCATTTGGCCTGGACCATGGCAGAACCCAGAGCACACACATAGCAGAAGCAAATCCACCTCCCACCACAGCTCCCCTCTGCCCTCAGAAAATACTCTGCCCAAAAAGTCTCCTGAATCCATTGCTTTAGAAAATGCTTTCTCTACCTGCACTGCTGTATTTGAGCCTTTCCGTTTTAGGCATGAGCATGCCACACACACACACACACACACACACACACACAAATACACATTTCCCACCCTCCCTCCTTTCCTTTACCTGCAACATGCTAGCCTTCAGCTGGCTCTTGACCTCTAATCTTGACCATCTTATCTTCATTTTAGAAGTGTCACCTTGAGCCATTTTTAGTCATGCCCCTCACACACACTGGATATAAGCTATTTTAAAACAGAGACTATCTAGTACCTTCTTTGTGTCAACTGCAGCACTTTGTACATGTCAGGGACTCAAAAAATATTTGTTGATTGAGTGTTAGAAAATAAAAGGGAAAAAAGCTTAGAAAATGAATGCAAAGCATTAAAAAAAAATAATTTCTATGATTATCTTTAGGTCTCCTCTGATTTCAACTTGAGTTTTGGGTTGAAAATTTCTTTCTTATGGTCAAAGTCTACTTCATAATACTGACCAAGGCTCTCTCTAAATAGACAAAATTTTGTGGCTTATCCTATTTTTCCTACATATAATGCTTTATTTAAATGGATTTCTGACACTAGACATTAAACCATAGCTAATTAAAGATAATATTAAGTTAGTGGATATTGGAATATATTTTGTTTGTTTCATAATGTCAGTGTTTTTTAGAAGGAAACACTGAAACACTACCAGTCCATGATTTATCCTTTTATATGAATATCACAAATGAATAAACAGAATGAATATTGAATAACAATTGGTTTTGGAACATGCCTTTATTATCATTGGGCACACTGCATTTGTTAATTCCTGGAATACTAAAAGCTAGTCATTATTTCTATTTCCACCAAGATGGAGGCAATTTACTCTGCTAAGGCAAAATTGTTAATGGAAATATAACAGCAAAGCTTCAGGTTGGTTCCCCTGAATAGCCTCCATTTTAGTAATTAAGAAATTGCTTTGAGTGGGTAGATAGGATGGGACCTGAATCCAGGTTGGAGCCTCGAGTCTTTCTATGTAAGGGCTCTATAATTGGTGTAACTGGAAGTCACAAGATAGGGAATCCAGCTCTCAAGTCTTGTTCTGCTCCATCCAATAGCATGTGACTTACCATAGACTGTTCCATAACCATGATGACATCCTTTCTTATATATTACATATAACTCCAAGACATGCATGTTCTGGTACTATCCATTATTAAGAGTATATTGTAAAATGCTGAACAGGAAAAGCAAGCAAAGGACACCCATGTCTTTTTCTCTCTCTCTCTCTCTCTCTCTCTCTCTCTCTCTCTCTCTCTCTCTCTCTCTCTCTCTCCCCCCCTCTCCCTCTCCCTCTCCCTCTCCCTCTCCCTCTCCTTCTCCCTCTCCTTCTCCTTCTTCTTCTCCTTTCTCTCTCCTCTACTCTAGAAAACAAGTTGGAAAACTTTTCCTGCAAAGGGCCGAATAGTAAATATTTTTAAGTTTTGCAGACCACCTAGTCTCTGTCTAAATTGCTTAATTCTTCCTCTTTAACATGAAAATAGCCACAGACAATATGTAAGCTAATAAGCATGATTCTGTTCCAATAAAACTTTATTTATGGTTTTATTGGAACAGAAGTGGCACATGCCTGCCACTGTGACTCATCCCAGTGACTCAGGAGGCTGAGGCAGGAGGATTGCAAATTCAAACCCAGCCTCAGTAACTTAGCAAGGACCTAAGCAAAGTAGCCAGACCTTGTCTCAAAATAAAACATAAGAGGGCTGAGGATGTAGTCCAGTAGTTAAATATCCCTGGGTTGAATTCCTGGTATCAAAAGGAGGAAAAAAGCCTTTTTATGGACACTTAAATTTGTATTTCATATAATTTTCACATGCCACAAAATAGTAATTTTCTTTAGTTTTTTTCCCCGACCATTTAAAAATATTAAAAGTCACAGCCATACAAAAGCAGTAGGTAGACCCAATCATAGACTGTAATTTGCTAACTTCTGCTTCAGAATATTTGAGCAGAATTTCCTTGCAGTTGAGCATATGTGAGTTCCCAATTTTACTTTAGGATCATCTCTATGTATCTGGACGAATAGATCATCACCTCCTCTCGTGAGGGCTTCTGTGGGCTTGCCATCTCACTTGCTGGCACAGAAAGCACACCATATGGTCTTCAAGAAGAGAGTATTGACCAGCTCTGTGATGGTGCTTATTTCCTTCTAGGGATAGAGTGGTCAGCTACACACTTGGCCGCAGGCTTCCAACAGATCATGTGAGTGGACAGCTGCAATTCCGATTTGAGATCACTTCCTCCATCCACCCAGGTATTTTCAGCATGAACTTCATGTCTTGTCCTAGGCTAGTGTCCTAGTGTGGTTCCTTTCTCTAAAACACAATAACCATGGTTCTTTCCAGACATGTCCTAGGTTTTGTGGTTCTCTATCCTCTCCATTTGAGGCCCAGAACCCAGTGATCTCTTCTGGAAGCCAGGTTGCTGTCCCTTTGGTTGAGAGGCTCCTCTTCATTCTGGTGACCCAAAGGTAGAGGGTTACACAGCGGAATGGGGGTTAACAATGTGGCCAACATGAATATGGAGCCATTCCTTGTTATTTTACTGTCAGCACCCACGTAGGTCGTGCTTAAGAGATGTTTAGAAATTGATACAAGTGAGTGGATGAATAAAGGTAAAACATATCTTTCTACCTAGTAACTATATATTGACTGGCCAGTAGCTGAAGAATGCTTTATTGTTGAAGAACTATGATTATATAACTGACTTTCATAATATCACAGGGAAAATAAAAAATATAAACAGAAGAATTTAGAAACATCAAGTGTTCGATTTTTTTAATTCCAAAACATATTTCTAAATAAGAATAGTTAGATGCTTCAGAATTTCACTTTTGCTCTTTCCTCATATCTCCCATACAATGTGTAGATTACACTAAGAAATTTCTTAGACCACAATAATGAGTTGCTATTGAAACTAATGAAGCCTGAATCTGGAGTTTGTCACTATTCACTCACTAAATCGGGTTGCACTTTTCTTTTTTAATTTGTTTGAATTGCACTTTTCTATATGCCCAATATACAAATCAGATTATAAAAAAACACCTTGACTGTTTTATCCTGTCAAATTCAGCCTTTTCGACTCTGAGAATAAAAATGACTCTTCCTTTACTGAAGCCATAAAGATAGCTTTACCTCAACAGAAAGATTGTTGTCTTTCAACTAGTGATCTGCACTAGTTCATTTGAAGTAGAAATATTCACATCTTTTAGGGACCCAATGGAGCAGCTGGGAAAGGTAGTTAAACATACAAAAACAGTAGGTAGACCAAATCATAATAGTTGCTACTCTTGGAATGGCTGCTTGATATGGAGATCTTGTTTATTTTTCTACTGCAGTAAAAGTCAAATGATTTGATTGCTCCTATCTGTCATCCAGCCCTATTCTCTCTAGTTGCCTAAGAACTTAGCTTATCCATTCTGGCACCCCACAGGACCCATCCATAGGAAACATTAACAAACTAGTGCAATTAACTTTGCCAGGGATCAACAAGGAACTACAAACACCACCACTATCCCCATTTCTAGAAATCATTCCAAGTAGCAAACATTTTTGAGCACCTACTATGTGCCCAGAACTGGGGTAGTGTCGGGTATATTAATCAAAAATCAATTAATTTGTTAATTAAATTCCTTGAAACAGAATTCTAAAATATATCCACAATTGCAAATTGTCATGAACATAATTAGAACTCATTCTTAATAGAATTTTTCAGCAGAGCTCTGGCCATTGAGAAACCCTCACCAACCCCTACATTCAATATCCTAATGTAGAAATCCCTAAGCATAAGACTTACATGTGTTGCACAATATACTAACACCACAATGCTTTTTTCTGGAAAGAATGACATTTTTCTTCTTGCCGCAGATGATGAGGAGATTTCCCTGAGTACTGAACCTGAGTCAGCAGAAATTCAGGACAGCCTCATGAACAACCTGGTTGAAAGCAACTGTGCGGAGCCTCCAAATGATGCTCCAGAGCCCTGTGAGAGCTTGAGGCCAGAGCCAACCAACGAGGGCACTGCAGTGGACAGTTCAGGACACCAGAGCCTGGAGCATGCCAGGCCAGTTGAGGAAGGGGCAGGTGCCACTGAGGCAGGAGATGATGGCAGGATCTCTGAGGGACCTGAAGGGGTTGGGGAGCTTCTGGCCCCAGGACAACAGGACCCCGAGTCTGCCCTGAGTGCAGAAGAACTAGCCGAGAGGCTCGACCTGGATGAACAGGTACCACCATCGCTACTTCTGGAAGATGGTGAGGCTTCCGCCAACAAGAATGAGCCGGTGGAGGAGGAGGCAGCACCCGAGAGCCGGGCCAGGGGGGAGGAGGAAGAGAAAGGCCAGGGTGAAGAGGATGAGGAGGGGGATGTGCCTACCCTGGAGCACGGAGAGGGCAGACTGCAGCTGCGAGCCTCAGTGAAGAGAAAAAGCAGACCATGCTCTTTGCCTGTGTCCGAGCTGGAGACCGTGATCGCGTCGGCCTGCGGGGACCCCGAGACCCCGCGGACACACTACATTCGCATCCATAACCTGCTCCACAGCATGCCGACGGCCCACAGCGGGAGCGCAGCAGAGGAAGAGGACGGGGCGGAAGAGGAGTCAACCCTCAAGGATTCCTCCGAGAAGGATGGGTTCAGCGAGGTGGACACGGTGGCGGCGGATCCGCCGGCCCTGGAAGAGGATGGAGGAGAGTTCGAGGGTGCCACTCCGGGTATGGCACCCCCTGGCCACCTTGGGGGCCACTTCCGTAGTTTGACAAATGGCGCGGGTCCTGAAGGTGACACGCTTCCCAGCACTGGGAGTGAGAGCGACTCCAGCCCCCGGCAAGGCGGGGACCACAGCTGCGAGGGCTGTGACGCGTCGTGCTGCAGCCCCTCCTGCTACAGCTCCTCGTGCTACAGCACGTCCTGCTACAGCAGCTCCTGCTACAGCGCCTCCTGCTACAGCCCCTCCTGCTACAACGGCAACAACCGGTTCGCCAGCCACACGCGCTTCTCCTCCGTGGACAGCGCCAAGATCTCCGAGAGCACCGTCTTCTCGTCGCAAGACGACGAGGAAGAGGAGAACAGCGCGTTCGAGTCGGTGCCTGACTCGGTACAGAGCCCGGAGCTGGACCCGGAGTCGACCAATGGTGCTGGGCCATGGCAGGACGAGCTGGCTGCCCCTGGTGGGAACCTGACAAGAACCGCTGAAGGTCTGGAGTCCCCCATGGCAGGTCCAAGCAATCGGAGAGAAGGTTAGACCTCAAACCTGATCAGAGTAAGAATAGAACCACCAGGGGCACAGGTCTCATCAATACGGTTTTTAAAAACAAGAGAGGAGGCACCGGTCCCAAATAGGGTTGCTGGGGCAATGTATGTCTGTCTTGTATTTATATGTGTGTATGTGCAGAGGTGTATGAGCATAAGTGCCTACCAATAGCTGACGGTCCACCATGTCTCAGATACACACCAAGAAATACAACTAGGTGAATGTGAGCGTGCACTTGTTTGTGTGCTTCTGTTTTAACTAATCACCAGAACGGATTGGTGTAAGTTATCTTTCTAGTCTTGACATCAACACAAAGTGCCAAGACTAATAACAGGTGACAGTGAATAATGTCTAAAGTAAATGATGGCGTCCTAAAACACACTGAAGATTAGCAATAATGTTAATTTTAGTTGAAGAATACAGATTTTATCTGTTTTAGAATTTAACTAGTCCCGTGTATATGGATAATCTATATGTTTGTCATTATTTCTGTCTGCTCAATTCTTGTCATAATTGTTGGTTTTGTTGGTTTTGTTAGTTTTGTTGCTGTCATTGTTGGCTACTTTGGTTAATTGAAGGGAAAAATAATGTGAATGTGTAAATCACTTTGTCTCAAATAAGATTTTAATCCAGGAGTTGCCACTTTTAGTTTTAAAAATGTATTCTATGTTTTAACCAAAGACATTCCTTCTTACTCATGCCTGTGGCATCAAATATTAATTTGCATTTCCTTACCCAGGACTGTGAACCATCTTCCAGTCAAGTGACAGTGGCATGGGGGGTGGGGAGGAATTGAGAAGTCACATAACAATATGAAATAATTTAGTTATTTTAAAAGAGCCAAATATAGATTTTGTTATTTTGCTGTTCTGCTGTTTAAATTAGCCTCCAAATAAGGTGGTGGTATTCACTCTAGATTGTAAGCTCATCAAGGGCCAGAAATGTCTTCTCTATGTTTAAATCCTCAGCCTCTAAACAATGCCTGGTGCCTACAAATTTTTTGAAAATGAACTAAAATGAGCATAAAAAATAATCTTAAGTATTCGTCAGTGCCCAATTCTACATTTTAGAGAAGGAGATAGTGAGGAAAAGTGCCACATATTGATAAGGAGAACAAGAAAATTGTTAGAAGGGGGGAGAAACACAGGGAGGCAAGAAAAGCCATAGGACACACACAATATGGAAAGGTCCCCATGAGGAGAGAAAATGGGATGGAAATTTCCTTTGGGGATCTATCCTCACTCTCCACTGGGCTTCACAGAGCTCAAAGAAAGGGCTTCATTTAAAAAAAAAAAAAGAAAACACTATTGCCCCCATGACTTCTAAGACTGCTTGAAAACTATAGAAAGTACATTTGATTAGCAAAGTAGACTTAAGAGAACACATGCCCACATCAGTGAGCTGGTGGCAAACCAGGGAGGGACATCATTTTAGAACGCTGATCAGTTTGATGTGAGTCTGAAGTGACACTTATACAAACTAGTATTATTTATCTAACTTTTATCTCTTTTTCCTCTATTAAAAAAAACTTTTCTTAAGGCTCAATTTAAAATAATTTTGAAAAGCTATCATCAGATGAATGAAAGAAGCAAGATAACATTGTGGTCATGAGCTCAAGCCCTGGAGGTTTGATTTATATTCAGTCCTATCACTTCCTCACACTCTCTCTCTCTCTCTGTGCCTCAGTTTCCTTGTATGTCAAACAGATATACTTGTAGAATTCATCTCAAAGTTTATCAGAAGAATTAAATGAGGCAACACTGTGAAGGGCTTTGCCTCTCATCAAGCAAGAGTTCTTCTGGGCAGATAAACAGTGAGGCTAACTTTTAAAAGTCATATAATAAAATATCCAAAACAATCCTTTGAACTTATATTTCTTGCAACCATGTGTTTTTAGGAAAATTCTCACATCATTAGGTGGAAATCACTTTGTTTTAAATAATATTTGGGGTGGGCAGCCCATCTTTTTTTCTACAGTTTAGTCATTATTTACAAAGAAAAGAGAATTTTAAAAGACCTCATATATTGTCAACAGGGAAATAGGTTTCCTCCTCTGATGTTTGACCAGGTCTGAACACTCACTTTGTACTTGAGGCAGGGTGATTATGTTGTGCTGGGTCCTGGTACAGAACAGAACTGCTTGCTTCTTTTGTGCACTCCATCTATTCAACCAGCTGACATGTGTCAGTCACATCATTGCATTTGCTTGGGGTTCACAAGCAGGTGGGGTCAGCTCCATTAACCTCAGGCAAGTGACAATATATTGTATTTCCACTAGCTTGGAGGAGTAATTAACCTGTTTGATTGAATTAATTACAATTACAATGAGGTAAGTTTGTTGGTTTTTTTTAAAAGGAATTAAATGAAAAATACAGCAGCTGATGACATAACAACTATACCATTGGGTTTTATTTTTTATTTCTGACACTAAACACATAAAAAAAACCAACTAGGAGAGTAGTATCCACTTAAACATAGAACCCCTGTTTGAAACAATGAGCTGTGTGCTCGTATGAGGGGCACCTTCCTTGACTTCCTTTCCAATTTTCAAAGAATCAAAGGATTTGAGTAATATATTAGAGTTTGCACTAGGAATAATGTTATATTTTTAACATTTAAAAGGGCCTTTTGTTCCTGAATATATCTTTATTTTTGTTTGCCAGTTACCTCTAAGAATAACACCAATTCCCTTCCTAATTAATTTATTTTTAAAAAATTTTTGATTGGCTCTGTAGAATTAGAGTGAGAAGAAATAATCGTCCTTCCACATATGGACATTCTGAGAAATGTTCAACATTTGAGATCCCACAAAAATTTCTCTCAACCAACATTTTTCAGTTTCTCTCCCTTTGGATCCAACAGATCAATAGGACACTTGCTATGTGCATCAAATATGGAGGGCAGAGGAAGGAAAAGGTCTGAACTTTGTCCTCTGGTCAAAAGAGTGTGAGCATGCTGGGGAGGAAACCAGTGTAGAGTTTGATGGAGGTTGACTAGTGTCCTGATCAAGAGCAATCAGCTGATACCATGGACCTCCATCCACATGGCCACTCCACACACCTAAGGACATCCTAAAACAGGAACACCGTTCTTATACATTGTTCAGTTCATCATAAATGTGAAACTGACAACAGTATAAGCTTTGTCTATAATAATCTGAGGCATGCATTCTGTGGATGTGTTTATTTCTAAAATTTCTCTTTCTTCTTCCTTCTATCCCACTTCTGTGTTTCAAACTTTCCTGTTTCAGTCTTCCTGCTTTTTATCTATTTCCTTTGTCTCTTGTCTTTTCCTTTTTCCAGAGCACCATGACTTATCTGATTCCACCTCCAAATCATCTGGAAGAGTCATGAATTCCCATAGAACCTTGGGCTTGCCACTTTATCCCCTATTTTCCCTACTACAGGAATTGACATTCTTGACCTATCAGCTACTTGACCCATCTTGGAAAGGCACCATCTCAGAGTCTCACCCCCCACCCCCAAAATCTTAAAAATAGCCTTTCAGCAGCCCTCTTATGAAACTGATCCATATGATAAGGTATAATTTTGCACAAGCCCACCAAGTTTTTAATGGTACTTTATAAATGCTATACTTCCCTTAAACAGGCCTGTTTCCTTTACTGGATTATCAGGCTCTGATAATTTTCTTTTGTGTTCTTTTCTGATGCCACCTTCCCATCAAGAAAATTCAAGAGGTTACAAATCAGATTCCAGTCCTATATATTGGTCTATAGATCATTAGTCATGAGGTGTTTGGACAATAACAACAACAACTACTTCTTCTTCTTCTTCTTCTTCTTCTTCTTCTTCTTCTTCTTCTTCTTCTTCTTCTTCTTCTTCTTCTTCTTCTTCTTCTTCTTCTTCTTCTTTTAATAATTCCCTTTATCAAGAATGACTGTGAATGTATCAAACTGACAAAAAATAGATTGCCCACTCTATTTGTTGTTTCTTGTAATTTGTTTTACAGTCATTTTATGACATTACCAGAGCAATGAATGAATCTGAATGTCTTGACTATCTTGTCCATAGGTGAATGTCCTATACTCCATAATTCCCAGCCAGTAAGCCAGCTTCCTTCCTTGAGACCTGAACATCATCACTACCCAACAATCGATGAGCCTCTTCCACCAAGTAAGCTCTAGTTTTTAAAATCTATGTCTTAACTCTTCCTCTCAAGTGTGAACAGGTCAGTATGAATTTGTTTGTAAACATCAAAACTCTTCCCCAACTCCATACCTTACACTGCCATCAAAATACAATATGGCATCTACTAAAAACCTGGTTGGGTTTGGGGGAATTTTTGTTGTTGTTGTTGTCGTCTATTTATTTTTTTTACTAGTTGTTTCAGCACATGATCTTGAAGACATAACCAAATGTTTTCAATGTCCCTCAGTTCCTGAAATGAAGAACATTTTTTTACAAGATCTAACTAGTCTTTGCAAATTGTTCATAACCCTTAAGTCCCAAATTTACTATTTTATATTTAAATTTTGCAGTTCCAAATAGAATAGTTTTACCAATGCCATGGGATCTGTTATCCACAAGTATTTCTTTTTTTATTTGTTTTAATTAGTTACACATGACAGTACAATGACCTTGACATATCATACATTTGAATCACATGGGATACAATATCTCATTTTTCTGAGTATACAAGTTGCAGAATCACATTGGTCATGCATTCACATATATACATACAGTAATAATAATGTCTGTTTCATCCATAAGTATTTATATATAATAAAAAAACTTCAAACTGTAGGGCCCATGAACTTGCATTTTTCATTCTTTAACTTTCATCAATAGGTAATAGCTCCCAACTTCTTCTGTGGTTTTTAGGGGTTGCCAGATATAAAAATATCATCTTTAGGATAAATTTGAATATCATTTTGTCCTAGTAACTGTAGTGTGTAATTGATAAATATCTAACTAGTCATCTAAACTTAGGAAATTCACTTAATCTCTGTGATACTCAGGCTTTTATTTGTAAAATAAAGCTTTAATGTCCTCATCTGCTAAATGCTAAGTTTGGACGAGGTAGTCTCTAGATATCATTTCAGCTCTAACCTTATAACACTCCATTTAATAAATTTATGAGAAGGAACTGACACCCCACACATTATAAATTCACTTATTTTTATACATTCATGAATTCTAGAACCTACCTATTTTGGTTTAGGATTTTTTTTCTCATGCAAAGATAACCTTTAAGAGTTGATAGATTTTACAACTGCAAAATTTTTTCAGGATGCAAGATACCTAGTTTATTTGTGTTCTTTTGCCTGTGCTTACATGAAACAATTCCCATTTCAAAAGGAGACATACCTATTTCTTCATTCATCTGTTCTTGATAATGTGATGTATTTTGTACAAACATTACTTTTCCCCCATCAAATTGTATTTTATCAGTGAGAAAACAATGAACATCTTTGATATTTGCACTAACTTACAGAAGCACCATATTTGTTCTCCAAAGGTCAAATCAAACACTATCTCCTTTAACTTTTGATGCTTGATTTCTTCCTTTATTCAGGAACTGATTTATGAATAGTCCATAAATAAATAGGAAAAATTCAGCATTACTACAAATACTTCTATTTAGAAATTATCTGAAAAAATATCTATAACATGCTCTCTTCAGGAGGGAAACTCCCCCCATAAAAATAATCTACCAATGCATGGTGGATTAAACAGGCACCTGAAAACTATTCCATTGTAAAGTATTCCTTTGCAATGATAGAGCAATTAATAAGTAGTTGTATGTGCAGATGTTATAAATAATTGGCTACAAATTAATTTTAGAAGTACTTAATGCAAGCCACTTTCAATAATTAAAACAAATTTTTCCAGATGAGTTTCAATTTTTTATCAATGTAACATTGGAAAATAATAGAAAATTTGTTAGTGAATCCTACCAACTAAATTTTCTTAGATAATTTCTAACAGTACATCAAATACTTCATTCCTGGTATTCATCCATTCAATAAATACTTGTAAATACTTACTCTGTGCTAGGTACTATTTTAGGTACACAAACTGGACAAACATCTCCACCCTCTCGCACCTAACAGTCTTGTTTGAGAGCTAGACAATAAACAAAAATAAATAATAAATAAGGAATTAGTGTAGCATTTCAATTGGTGGTGAATGCTAAGCGAAAAGCAAAAGTAGTGCAGAGTAAGGAACTTATGATATTTGATGGTGGCTGGTTTGCAATTTTAGATCAAGTGGTCATGGTAGACTTCATTGAGAAGACAACACAGAAGGAGATAAAGGATTTTTCCAGGTCAATGCTGGGAAGGAAGAGCTTTGCAAGCTAACATAGTACCCACTACCAAGCTGTAGATAGAGCCCCTGATGAGTTTGACTAATGGGTGACCTGTGCATCTGAGCAGGTTGAGGAAGAGAGAAAGCAGCAGGCCCTGAGGTCAGGGTGACAGCAGGGACAAGTCACTTGGGGCTTCATAGAGCACATGAGGGCTTTGGCTTTTTTATCTGAACGAAGTGGGGACATTGCAGGGTTTTGAGCAAAAGAATAACATTGTCTGACTTAGGTTTTGAAAGGTTTTCCCTGGTTGCTTCATAGGGAATAATCATAAGTAGGAAGGATAGAAGCATGAGAGGCAACTTGAGATTACTGCAGTGACCTAGAGGAGAAATGATGGTGGCTTGGACCAGGGTGGGAGCAGTGGAGGTGGTGAGGAAGGTCAGATTCCACACATATTTTTTAAGATAGATTTAATGACAAACTGGATGTGGAAGTAAAAGAAAGATGGACTCAAAAATGACTTAAGAATTTTAGCCTCGAAGGATAGAGTTATGTACAACTGAGAAGGAAAAGGAAGTCTACAGGCAGAACAGATTTGGGTACAAAAGTTCTGAAGCTTGGTTTTGATCATATTTGAGGTGTGATTTAGGTAGCGATGTCAAGAAGGCAATTGATTGTAAAATTATGAGGCTCAAGAGAAAGGTCTGGGCAATAAACATAGTATTTCAATTGTGGAAAAAAAATATTTAAATGCCAAATTTGACATGTTTTGTTAGCATAACTAAAGGTAATTCATGATCAAGCTAACATTGTTCTTCAACTTCATGGAAAACATATTCAGCAGGTCCTTCCATCACAAATGAATTGACCTCACCTGCACTAGTGTAACTTGCCACAGCATTGTCAAAGGAAAGCCTTTACAATGAAGTAATTTTCAGATGTCTATTTAAGCAAACTCATGACATCACAGTGCTGGATTCTTCAGGTCATGATGAAGCCTGAAGTTCCATAGGATTTTTTTGTTGTTGTTATAAAGTATGTGAAAGTAAATTCTTCACAAACCAACACAAAAAAACACACTCATAACTTCTAACTACACTTAGCTAATTATTTTCTGAATATTTGTAATAACATATAACTAGCACTCTGCATTCCAGGTATTCAGTCTATTGACAAAAGAGCATGTCTTTCTGGCTTTCCATCCTTTTTCATGAGTGATTTGGAAATATTGAGACGTGTAGTGAGAAAATGCCATTATCACTGCTTCATTCTCTAGTCTTTTGTTTTGTTTTGCCTTAGAGAATTTGTAAGACTGAAGCTTTGTCTGTGGTGGTCCTTCCTTTACTATGGGCTCCTGGAGGGCAGGACCTGTGTGATTCTGCTCTGTGTCCTAGGATCTGACATAGTTCCTGGTTTCTAATCACTGTGAAAAAGGAGTTTGCTCAGTTGAATTAAATAGTGCCATGAGTTTTAAAGATTAATGCTTATTCTTTGTTAGATGACAGATTGGATTCAAGAAAAAGAACTGTCCGGTTGCTTTTTAATATTAGGTTGGGAACCATTGAAATTTCAAAATGTTTGGATAGAGATTACATACAAAGTAACACAATTACGCATATACACAATTCCATCAACTAGTTAAAGAGCTAATGAACATTTACATCAGTTGACAGCTAGATTAACTAATCGCCAATTGTAGTCAAAGCCTCTTAGAACATATTTTTACAATCTAAATTTTCCCTTCAATTTGCCTTATAAGTTAAATTTGGTGTTTTCTGATATTTTGGTTTTCATTAGGCATCATTTGGCAATCCCTCAGGTCAGGCACATGCAATAATATTTCCTAACAGATATGACATGTACATATAAAGCCATAAATATGCCAAATCTATTTTTCCATTTAAAAACTGAGAGTTGCTATGTCATTACCTGAATGATACGTTTTCAAGAATATTGTTAATATCTGACCTACTCCCAAAAGCTATGGGCTTTTCTCACTTAAGAGGCTAAATGGTTTCCCTCCCTTTGCAGTCATTTTTGCTTCTTTTTTCTTTAGCTAATACATTTTCAGCAAAATGTATCATGTTGCTGCTATTTCCACCACATTTTTATGTGTGGACTCAAAAAACTTTGCCCATTTCTGTGCATTGCTCCTGTACGTCGAGCTCAGACGTGAATACATTAATTTCATCCCTTTCCCTTTTAAGGTATTTTCATGCACATCACCCCACCCCAACCCCTACATGCATGACGTAGGCTACCATGATGCTTCTGCCTTTTAATTTTGGGGTTTCCTCTGTTTTATTTGGGAAGCAAAAGAAATTTATCTTTATCTTGGGCTCCCTCTACTGGTCAGGAAGGCTTTTTAGCAACAAGAGGAATTTTCCAAGTGCCTTGTTTGTCCATAGTTGTCATTGGTTTGGCTTTGGTAAAAATATGTTTGGTAACCATAGGTAGGTTGAATATACAGGGTGAATTTACAACTTAGCAAAAGGATGTTTTGAAACTCTAGTAACAAATCTTTCCATTCACCCTCTCAAGAGATATAGCAGTCAGTTAAACTTGTTAAGTATTAGAAGAGGCTGTCTAACGTTGCAGGTACAATATTTTAGAGCTGAAGTTAAAACTAGTTTTAAAATAAAGGCCATGGCCACTTGTCACTGAAGCTAGTCCTCCTATGTTATATCTAGCAAGGAAAGGGTTCTCCAGCATCATAGTGTCAGCTGTCACTGGGGGACATGTCTAATCTTCTTCAACTGTCACTTGGGTAACCACAAGATTTTTTAAGAAATAAATTAATTAAATAGGCTTTCTCTTTAGAAATCATTAGAATTTTAGCACAGGTCATATTCAGGGAACCACAATTACTGTTTAAAATGGTCCATTTGTCTAAAATGGTCCAGCAGGGAACCTGAGTGTGTTAAGCTCTTTTCTGGAAGGCCTGATTCTGTGCCACTGCCCCATCAATCATGGCAGGTGCTGTGGGCAGTGTCTGGCCTTCTACAACCAACCAATGGTGAGTTCTACGTCAGAGGACTGGGAAGTAATTATCTCTTCACGTGGGTCAGTAGTTTGTCCTTGATTTTTCTTTTTGCCTTTTCATTAAACACTAGACTGGGAAGCTCGAATTGACAGCCATGGGCGGGTCTTTTATGTGGACCATGTGAACCGTACCACCACCTGGCAGCGTCCAACAGCAGCAGCCACCCCAGACGGGATGCGGAGATCCGGGTCCATCCAGCAGATGGAGCAGCTCAACAGGCGGTTGGTGATCAGTATGCAATGAGCTCCTATAAACCTCAGTGAAAGCAGAATGGCAGCCAAATAAACTCCTCTAACACTTTGCTCAGAATGAGGAGACTGGAAAGTGATTAAGTACCTTAAAGAACCCATTGTAACAGGTGCTTGACAAGCTAGACTTAGAATTTGGTAGCAGAGACAAGTGACGCTCCAGTGTCCTTTAAAGATGGGAATTCCTTAAACTTCTTACCGACCCAGGCTGGAAAATAGGTTTTGTCATTGTTATTTGTTTTGTGTCTGTCTGTTTTGGTAATACTAGGGATTGAACCAGAGGGCTTTGTACATGCTAGGCAAGTGCTCTATGGCACAACCCCAGCCCTAAAACAGAAGTTCTTAACCAAGAGTATCCTCTCTTCAGGGTATTCACCAAGGATATTAGTATTTCATGAACCCTCCAAAAACTGTATGCAAAATTATACACGAATGCACATTTTTCTGGCATACTGGTCCATATCCATCATAATATTCTTCCAAGATATTTGGCAGAACTCAAAACAGTTTAGAACATTCCAAGGATAGGTTCCATAAAAATACTAAAAACTGCCTGCAGGAAAAACTGTCCCATAAATCACAGTTGGCATTTCTACCCTGCTGTCATAATTGCTACATACCCACCCATAAATAATAATTCTTCAAATGCCTTCATCTTAGAAAAAGAAATGTTTTAAAAAAAATGTTTTGAAGTCAAGCATGATGGTGTGCTCCTATATTCCTATAATCCCAGCTACTCTGGAGACTGAGGCAGGAGAAGTGTGAGTTTGAGGTCAGCCTGGGCAACATAGTGAGAATCTGTCTTTAAAAAAATGAAAGAATTTTTGAGAATTATTTTGTTCAAAAACTAAATCCTCACTATTGATGTCATTTTGGTTTTGATGTGCAAATGAAACCCTAGACCATGTATTGCCATACCTCAGTGAGTACAGAGCATCCTCTCTAACCTCATGTTCTTTGAGGCCAGGCTGATGGCTTCAGGATATTGTTAGTTGCCAGGGATGTAAGTAAGCTGCAGGGTAACTTCAGTTGTACATGGCATCCATATGCATTGTGTTTATGTGTAAGTATTAAGGTAAAGAGAAAATTGAGAATGACTGAAAAAAAACATTTAAAAAATGGAGGGTGGTATCTATTGACATCATATGACTTCAAAACTTAACTGTATCAGCCAGAGAGGGAATTAGACTATTTGGTGCCATTAAAAACGCATGGAGGGGCCTGGGGTTGTAGCTCAGTGTCAGAGTGCTTGCCTTGCATGTGTGGGCCCCTGGGTTCGATCCTCAGCACCACATAAAAATAAATTAAAAAAAATAAAGATATTGGGTCCATCTACAACTAAAAATAATTTTTTAAAAAACAACAACACATGGAGGGGTTGGGGTTGTGGCTCAACCCCAGTGTTAGAGCGCTTGCCTAGCATGCGTAAGGCACTGGGTTCAATCCTCAGCACCATATAAAAATAAAAATATTGTGTCCATCCACAACTAAAAACATATTTTAAAATGCATACATGCACATGCATACACACACACACACACACACACACACACACACACGGAGGCCGGGCATGGTGGTACACACCTGTAATCCCAGGTTCAGAAGGCTGAAGCTAGAGAATTGTGAGTTCAAGGCCAGCTTCAGCAATTTAGCAAGGCATTAAGCAACTCAGCGATATTTTGTGTCTATATAAAATATAAAAAAGGGTTGGGGATGTTGAGCACCCCTGGATTCAATTCCCAGTACAAAAAAAAAAGCCACATGGAGGCAAAAACTAATTGAACAGCTTCTTCTCACACCATCAGAATATTCTTTTATTGCTTGAACATTGGGAAGACATTTGCTTTCCATTTTTACTCTTCAGTAGCTGAGTGCTTAAATCATTAATGAAAAGATTTTCATTGGCAGCCCATTTCTCCACAGTCATCCCCACAGAAACAAAGCATATTACAAGGAAGATCTTGTGATACGCTAGTTTTATTAGACACAAATGCGCCAAAAATCCACGAGATGGTCCTGTCATGGTGATTGCAACACACCTGTTGTGACAAAATGCAGGGGACACAGAAGCTCATTTTATTCCATTTCATAGGCAAAAATTAACCTTTAGGCCTGTCTTGCCAGAACAGAGGAGCAAAAAGTGTTCACCAAACTGAGAGGGTGTCATAGGCTGTTATCTACAAGAAGTACAGTTTGAACACTAGGCAATAATCAAATCAACAATACATCAAATGATTAAATAATACAGTGCATTCAAAGCAGAAGGAAATACCTTGACCTATGGCACCAAAAATCCATGAAAGTTCTTGTGTTTTGATTGTATGATATAAAAATTAGGCCAGATCCATCTGGAACCCAGCCTCTCGAGATCTGCGCCTTTCATGTGTCAACTCCCGTGCCCTCCGTGGAGATGATCACATAGGAAAGGCAGCCAGATTTTGTTGAATGGGGAGTTGCATTTGCAGTTCATCTGGACAGATAGAGAAAAGGAATTTAGCAATTTGAGAAAGTGCTTATTTCTTGTGAAAAATCCTACTTAGGGAAGGTCAGATAACCTTCAGATAAGTATCCAAGCTTCTAAATACTTATCTTAACCCATTGCTTTCAAGTATTTAAGGTTTTCTGTGAATTGGTGTGATAAGAGTAGCTGTGCAAAGTATATTATCAGTCTGTATCTATCTCACATGTGATCACACGGAGGGGTCATTTTCTGATAACCTGAAGTCATTGGGAGAAATTTACAAGTTCACTGTCTCACCGCAAAATAGAAACATTTCCAAGTTTTACAAGGAATTTCTCCTGACTCTGCACCCAAGGAAATGTACACCGAGTACAGAGTGCCCAATGGCAATGTGACTGTGTTCAACCTTGGTCACTCTGTAACGACAGCACAGTCTTCCAGGCCTTTATGGTGTGACCACATGCTCCCACTACAGGGGCCACACCTACCTCCAACCTGGGCCACATCTCCTCATCCTACTGGCCTCACTCCAAAATCATGAGCCCTGTGACACCTCCACCTAGGACAGAGCCAGTGACTTCTTCCTGTGTAGCCTCTTGACTATGTGTGCCCCTATTACCATTCTTAACTTCTTGTCTTGGTTTTCTTTGTAATCCTTCCACCACCTAGTGAGGTGCTAAAAATTTAATATACCTCAGTACAAGATTATTTCCTGAGTGGATTCCTATGCCTTTGGAATATCCAGACTTAATTAACTCTATCTTCACACATAGGTATTGAGCAATCAGGAAATATAAGCATGAATTCTCATTTTAAATAAGCAACTAAAGTCTGATTTTTAAGTTAGTTGTATAAAATTATAATATTCCAGAGGGAAATAGAAATTTTAAATAGAAAAAAAATCTACAATCCTATTACTTCATGGATTAGGCTTTTTTTTTTTTAAAAAAAGTATCCATCTTTAATTATATACAATTCTTAAATGATTATAAGGTAACATGTAGTTAGTTTTATATTCATTTTGCTCACTTTCCACACTATAAGCATTTCCTATTGCCACATAATATTCAGATTAACATTTAAATGCTCATATACTATCCCATCAAGTGGCTATAATTAAGTTAATTTAATTTCTTATGTTGTTGAGTATTTTATTTATTGCTTTTATTACTATTTTTGACTTAGCCACCAAAGCCTGTTAAATGTTAAGACTATTTTTAAATATAGTATTCTTTTAAGGTTCTGTTCCCAAAAGAGTAGGTCTGGGAAGATGAACATGGTATTGGTATTTGTTATCAGTGCTTAACTATCTTCTATTGTGGTTTTATGAGTTCACTGTGCCAGTAATACCTTCACTTCCATTTCATCTTTTGGTTTGTTTTGCTGATTTAGAAGATGTTCCTTTTATTTTGGAACCACTTATACTTTATTTCTTGGAGGATCCAATTTTTTCCAAAATCTTTTTTTTTAATTATATTTACTTCCATGTGACCTGTCTGTTCGTGGATTTTAGGGGGGTTCTGTTTTGTTGATTGGTTGGCTTAGCATTGTTTTGGAAAGGTTTTCTTTTGTCTTACTTGGTGTGTGTGTGTGTGTGTGTGTGTGTGTGTGTGTGTGTTTGTGTGTGTGTCTATTTACAAATTATGTATTCCAGCTGACTTTCTTACCAATTTCCATTAGCCTTTCATATACTATAAATACTTAACCTTTTACTGAAAAACAAAACAAAAAAAAGAGTGGAAGACACTGACAGATAATTCTTAATGAAGTAGAAGACAACGGACTTTCTGACTCCCTTTCTCTTCTTTGGTGCCCTGATTCCCCGAAACTGCCCCTGAGCTTCAGCAAAGTTCAGGAGTGGATCTGGGACTTGAGGTTGTTGACTTAGTAAGGCATGAGATAACCAAGGTCCAATTGAAGACATGTGAAATAGATTGTGACATTGGTGGCACTTTCATCATCAGATAAGATCATATGTCTTCATAAAAATTCTGTGCTGTTGTCATTGTATTTGGGGAAGAAAAAGAGAAGCAACAACTTGACATTTGTCTAAGTCCCATCCCAGGTATTTATTGCTAAGTAACAGCCTACAATCTTCATTAGGACCATGATCATTGTTTCTCATGTCCGGATCTGACTGGATCCAGAAAGGCAGTTCTCACTGGAGTATCTCTAGGCTGTGGTTAGGGTGGCTGGAGCTGGAGACTCTCATATTTGATTGATGCTAGCTATTGGCTGGGAATGTCTACGAGGACACTTTCACAGAGATTTCCCAGGTAGCCTGGGCTTCCTCACAACATGGCTTCCATCACAAACTGTCACCTTATACTACATTAGACAAAGTGGTCACAAGATATTCCCAGGCCCAGGGGGTGGCAATACCAAATCTACCCTTAGAGAGGTTCTGTGATAGCACATAGGACTAAAAAAAAAAAAATTGTTAACCCATTTTGGGAAAATACGATCTGCCATAAAGCTTTTAGGGCATCATTCCATTAGAAGCTTCCTTCATCTTTGAAAGGCCCTATTCTCCCCTCAGTCAAGGTTTCAGACTTCAGAAGCTTCTCATTGGCCACTTTACCCTCCTGCAGGGCTGTATTCCCTGAGGTGCAGGAGGGGGATTATAGAAGGCTATCTTTCTCCTTCTCCAAACCCCCCTGCCAGAAACATGTTGAGGTGGTAAACAAACCCAAATATTTCTCTCTATAGTTAGATCACTCTGTTCATTCCTCTCTTCCACATTTCGTTTTAAGAGATCTTCTCAGAAAGTGTCTCTCAGTAACTGCGACAGGAAAAGGTATCTCCTGTCAGCTATCAAAGTAAATAGTAGAATCTCTCTAAATAAAATAAAATGTTAAAAAAATCCCTTAGATCAGTGATTCCAAACCTAGATGTACATAATACTAATTGAAGAGCATCTTGGAAGCTCAGGTTTTAATTTTGCTTCAGTTTCTGTAACGTTGACAATCACCCAGATGATTCTCTTGCAAGTGGTCTAGATACCACACTGAGGAAGCCTTCCTCTGTAAGCTCAAGGAAAGAATGAAGCACTGGCTTCAGAAGCTTGTCACAATAGAACCACATCTGTGCAATGCTGAGTACCTCCTTTGTTTGATCTTAGATTGCACTTGGAGACCTGGTTATTCCTGGTTACCATACTATTCTCTTCTTCCTCCTCTTTGCCCCCCCTCTTTCCACTCACTCCTCACTTTCCTAAGCACAAGACCCATATAAGCAACATCCCTTTGGATAGTGTGACTTGCATGACCTTAAGGACCTCCAAATCAGCATATCCAAATCCAACAAATATCTCCCCTGATCCATCCATCCTTCTAACACTGACTTTCAGTGTTGCCACCTCCAGCTACCTAGTCACAATAGTCTCCTTCCTCCTCTTCAATCCCCATATCCAGTGAAGCCACAAATCCTATTGAGACTAACTACAAAATTATTACTAATTCTGCTAAATATGTCTTCCTTCTTCCATCCCTGCCTTGAGGAGAAGTAAATATGGGTCCTGGTCATGTTACTTTTTAATTGACTGAGAGGCATTAAATAAAACAGAAGTAGTATGGGGAAAGGAAGGAGGCTACTTGGGTTGAGGCATGTAGAGTGGAGCAGACAGGAAATAAATAATTGGGCATCTGCTTAAAAGATAACATGAAGCAGATATTAGCAGGCTATCAAGGGCAGGGAGGTGTAGAAAATTTCTGAGAATTCTACTGGAAGATAGAGCCTATCTTGAGATCCCTGAAATATGTGGGTATTTCCCCTTACCCCAGCAGCATGACCTACCATTCCTGCCTGAGGTGGCCTTTGGCATCTCCATCCCAGACTGTTGCAATAGCTCTCAGACTACTCTGCCTAACTTCAGGCTCCTCTCCTGCACCCATTCTCTACACCAGTGTTGGCTGATCATTCTAAGCGTACATCTGGCCCTGTCTCTCTTTTTCAGTTGCTACTTAGGATCAAGAGCAATGGTGTTCAAAGCTAACCCCTAGAACATCAGCATCAGGACCACCTGGGCACTAGGTGAAATGCAAATTCTTAGGTCCTACCCCAGATCTACCAAATCATAGACTCTGGGGATAAGGCCCAGAAACCTGAGTTTTAACAAGTCCTACAAGGTATTTTGATGTTCCTCAGGTTAGGAGGCCTATGACCCAAACTGCTGCTGGGGCATCCTTCAGATGATCCCTGCCTTCCTCTCTGTTGGTCTCCTCTCACCAACAGGTGTCCATGCATCCTGATACCACCCCTAAGTTTTCCAGAGCTCTCCCAGGGGACCCTGCTTTCACACATGTTGCTTTCCCTTCTGAAAATGTTTCTGCTCAATTAGCTCCCCCATAAGTTCATACGCCAGCTTTTACCTACCTTAGGATCTCCTTGTGTGTTCCCACATGTCTCTAACATGACCTGGACTGACTTTCACATTGCTAGAGTTGTGTTTTACATGCCATTCTCTGCTTTGCTGCATCTCAACTGTATGTTCCAAGGACAAAGTCATATTCTAATCCTCTCTGATCTGAAAGCTCAGAACAAAACATGCAGGTGGTCAGAGGGCTGATAAATATGTATTACCTGAGAAAGTGACTGACTGGTCAGCCAACTGACTCAATCCCCAACTTAGGAAGAAAAATGAGGCTTTAAATAAGCAGCAAATATTTATTTGTCTGCCAGGATGCTTTTAAACTATATTATTATATTTTACAATATTTCCATGACCTCTACGCAGTCATATCAAGTAACTGTCCAACAGTAGTTCTTCACCATACCTCATGGGTTAGACATGGGTCCTAGGGTAAAGAGAGCAATAGAATGGGCAAAAGACCAAGGTAAAGGAGAAAGAGGTATGGTGCAACAATTATTCCTTTTTGTAGGCCTATTAAAGTAATGTGGTGATAATTCCATACCTTAGTTGTAACGTTTTAATTTGTTTCCCATACCCTTATTTAAGACAAAGCCTGATTTTGTTTAATGCAGTACACAGGCTATTTTGCATGATTAGTTATTTTTTTATTGTTGTTGATTATTGAAAGTCACCATATTTGAAATTCATCCTAGCTTTCCAAAAAAAAAAAAAAAGTCAAATAATCTAGACATACTTCTCTTGCTAATTGTTTTGTCTATCTTTGGGGAATTTTAAGCCTTCCTTTTCTGACTTTCAAGATAATTCTTTACAGATTCTTGTCTGATTCAGAGCATTGGCCTCCCACAAGGAGAATTAAAAAGTTAATTCCATCTTTCCATTTTCTAATGCAAAGGTATCAAAATATTCAGCGGACCATTGCAACAGAAAGATCTGAAGAGGATTCTGGCAGCCAAAGCTGTGAGCAAGTCCCAGCCGGAGGAGGTGGAGGTGGAGGGAGTGACTCAGAGGCTGAATCTCCCCAATCAAGCTTAGGTATTGGAAATGGGGGGTCCCCATATACTAGTGGGGACATCCAACAGCTGTGTGACAGAAGTGTACAAGTCCTTCACCATACCTCCTGGGTTAGACATGGGTCCTAGGGTGAAGAGAGCAACAGAATGGGCAAAAGACCAAGGTAGAAGAGAAAGAGGTATGGTGCAAACAGGATAAAACAGACAATGGAGCTTCCCCCCCGCCCCCGCAGGAAACTTAGGAGATACAGATCCACAGTGAAGAGAATACCACCAACATGGCTGGTGAGATACAAAAGCACATGGATTCAGGGGATGGAGTTAAGTTTGCCACAATATTTGTGTACCAAGGCAGCTTTTGTGGTGGCTTAATCCTTTGTTGTTAAATAAATATATCTGTTGGTGTCCTAAGGGTTTTCCACATGCAAATAAAACATGCTATAAAAATTCACACTCTATTTCAAATGAGCCATGTGACAACACTAGGAGCAATTACTTTGCATTTAGAAGAAAATTCAGTTCTCCCCTGGGAAGAACTTGGGCAGAAAGAGGTTTTCTAGCAGGTTTCTGGTTATGTACACCATGCAAGAGTATTTTTTTTTAATCTACTACAGTATGCATTCACTCAGGGTCCAGTTTTCCTGATTTTTATTCTTCAAATTAAGTTCTACTCAGACAAGGATATTCAAACACCATGAGACTGGCTTCCACTTTTTATACCCACAACAATATAAGATTACCACAGTGGCATCTTAAGTAATTCACTTTCTCTTTGAAATGGGTTAAATGATGGCAATTTTCTTCACCAAAAGAAGGCTCAGAGAGAGTCTCACCAAGCAGACATTGTGATTCCCATCCTGCCAGCTCTCCACCATCAACAGCAACACGGATGTTGGACATTTTCGTGTGATTTCCTAAATGCACATACAGTTTCAGCAACCATTTTAATTGCTTCCATTCTATTCAATTCTCTAGACATACTTACCAAACTGACTAGTGTGAGTTTTTCTGTTATTAATTTCATTGTTTGGCCTTCTGAGAGAGACATGGTACACTGATCCAGTAATTAGAAACATGAAGAAAAAAGAAAGAGGACATTGATTTCTGAGTTTGGCGTTGGATCACTTGGCATTTACTGTGTAACAAACCATCCACAGATTTAGTGGTTTACACTCACAACCACACAGTCATCTAGCAGTTCTGTGGGTTGTCGATGTGAGCCAAGCTCAGCTGGGTGGGTCCTCACGATGCTGCTGGGCTCACACAGATAAATGTCTTGGATCAAATGTTGTATTGGCTGTGGGCTGGCTGGTGTGAGACGACCTCAGATGGGTGATTTGTCCCTGTTCCCCATCATTTATCTCTCAGCAGGCTAGTTCAAGTTGTTCTCTTAGTGGTAGCAGGGATATGAGACACACAGAACTTTCTGAAACTCTGACGTGTCATTTCTGCTATAGTCTCCTAAGTGAAGCAAGGTACAAGGCCAACACCAATTCAATTTAATAAGGATTATTGCTACAAAGCCCCTTTGCAGAGGGGTATGGATACAAGGAGGGGGAAAATTGTGACCCTTTTTGCAGAATCTATCATAGCTATGGTTTTCAACTTGTAATGAAAATAAGAAAAAAAAATCATCAGGATAAGTGGGAGGAGATGTTAGAAGATTTGTGCCTACCTGAAATGATGGAGGAATGCTACTAGGAAATAATGATTCTCAACTGGCTTACAGAAAGTGATACAAGTTGAGCATCCCTAATCCCCAAATCCAAAATCTGATATGCTCCAAAAAAATAAAACCTTTTGAGCACCAACATGATATCACAAATGGAAAATTCCACACCATGAAACACAGATTCATGCACAAAATTATTAAAAATATTGTATAAAATTAACTTCAGGCTCGGTGTACACAGTGTGGATGAAACTTAAAGGAATTTCATGTGTAGACGTGGGTCCCATCCCCAAGACATCTCATTAAGGATCTGCAAATATTCTGAATCTGGAAAAAAATTTGAAACACTCTGTTTCCAACCATTTCTGTAAGGGACGCTTTACCGGTATGACACCTGGTCATGTTGCTATTCAAAACAAGTTCTGCTTTGCAGGTAGAGATCTGTGTGCTACTGCTGTGGGAAAAGGAAAAAAAAAAAAAAAAAGAACCAGGTTTGAAACTACTTTTTTCTAAATGTATTCTGTTGATTTGCTTCACTTTTTCCAGATCAGAGGAGAGAAGGGTCACTTTCTCCAGTTAACTCACAAAAAATCACCTTGCTGCTGCAGTCCCCAGCCGTCAAGTTCATCACCAACCCAGAATTCTTCACTGTGCTGCATGCCAATTATGTGAGTGTTCCAAGAGCAGAGGAGGCCTGGCCTGGCTCCATCAAGACCCCAAACAAACTTTGTAAAGTCATTTGATAGATCCAAAAGACTAGAATTTTGCACCATACAAGGAGGGGGAAAAAACCCAATATATTCTTTTCACTGTGAGTCTCCCAATAAGTAAAAAGCCTGGATTTGGAAATACTGTTGTTTCTTTAGTTTTTTTGTTAGGCTCATGTCGGTGAAAGTACTTTGAAAACAAATACTCATTTTTATTATTGTTAAAACTTTAAAAGAACATGAAATGAATAGATCCCCTTCGTTATGAGCCATTTAATGCAATCATTTTCACTGAAGAAATTTTAAAATAGTTTTTTTTTTCCTAGATGTAGAAAACATCCTTTGGATGCAGTTTTTCAAATATCAGGCTAATATTGAACTGGATGTGATTTTATTATGCACTTTTTTTTTCATTGCATTTTTAGAGGGTATTTTCAAAAGAACAATGGCACAATATCACTCCATTTGTTAATTTCCATTTAACAACACTGCAGATCAGGCACAGTTTAGGTGCTGGAATCACAAAGACAGATTAAGGTGACACATAAGAACTAGGTGTCTTTTTTAGGGGATGATGATATCCAAAGTAATCGGCTTAACAAAACAGGGCAGGGCCAAACTGAAAGAAGACAAAGTTCCCTGGGAGCTCAAAGAAGCAGAAGGAGACAGGTGCATTGAATCTGGAAGGTAGAAAGTGGGTAGGAAGAAGTCCAGGCAGAGGGACAATGTGTTCTCTGTTAGTATGTTTGGGACAGCTATAAAGGTTCCAGAGTGGCCCAAGTGAGAGAGGCTACAGACAGGGAGAGAGAGCTGGAGAATCATCAGCAGACTCCTGGTAAGCCATGCAAAGGATCCTGGATCTACTTCGGTGGGCAACAGGAACCCACGGTGCTCTTAGGCACTGGGGCTGCGTAACCACACCGTTGATGAAGCATTCTCTCTGGCAACAGAGCACAGGGAAAGACTGAGGGGCCAAGACTAGAGGCCAATTCAACTGCTCAAGGGAGAGATGATGGAGGCCCAACCTAAGGAAGTGGCTGGGAGCATGGCAAGGAATAACTGCCTTCAGAGAGATTTCTCAGGGAATCAATTGACTTTGGGTCCCCTGTGGTTGTGGGTGAAATGAAGATGAGGAATTAAGAAAGACTGAGCCAGGTGTGGTGGCATACACCTGTAATTCCAGCGGCTTGGGAGGCTGAGGCAAGAAGATTGCCAGTTTAAAGCCAGCTTCAGCAAAAGTGAGGCGCTAAGCAACCCTGTATCTCAATAAAATACAAAATAGGGCTGGGGATGTGGCTCAGTGATTGAGTACTCCTGAGTTCAATCTCCAGTATCCACCCCCCCCAAAAAAAAAGACTAGTTTCAAAACAGCAGTTTCCACTTTGGGTGCCTGAATTTAGATGATAATGATTCCATAAGGCAAGAGCCATAATTTGATGAGGTCATGTCAGTTCTGGCTTGGGAAAAGGGGGACCACTGGTTGGATACAGAGCAGATTCCCAGTGCTGCAGTGGAGAGACACAAATGGAGAATAAGTATGGCAGATACTGATGCCCTGACACCCAGGACTGGGCACAAGGTGAGTGTCAACTCACCTTGTTGGTGGGTCAGCCTCTCTGGTTTCACAGAGTCTGTTCTTTTACTGCACACACAGAAGCACGTGCGTACACACACACACACACACACACACACACACATACACACACACACACCAGCCCTATGTTCCATAAAATTGTCATTTGGCATATTTAGAAATTCCTAAAACATTCTTTGTTTCCTCTCATCCCCTGATCTCTACACACACAAAGTTTTACATAGGATTCGAAGGATTGAGACACTTCTGTAGTCCAGCCTGAAATCCCCACAGATCCTAAATTACTACCCTTTGTTAGATAAGAAGAAAGGCAGACTTGTACTGTCAGAGAAGGGATATGAGGGGACAGGAGTGAAGCTCAGAGAGGTAGAAGAAGGTGTGAGGGAGCTTTACATGACTGTCCAAGGCTGCCAAGAGTTGGGTAGAATTAGAATGATATATGTGTGTTAATAATCAATGCACGATTACTTCTTAGGCAAGATCTCTTTTTCTGAGGCCTCTATCTCAAGCTCACTATAAATTGCTGTGTAGCAATCACATTACGTCATGTTTAAATGCTCAAAGTGTACTCAGTCTGTTTTTCCAAATTTCCCACTCTCGACTCCAATCCGCCCTGAACCTGTCTCAGAGTGCCTACCGAGTCTTCACCAGTAGCACCTGCTTAAAGCACATGATTCTGAAAGTCCGAAGAGACGCTCGCAATTTTGAACGCTACCAGCACAACCGGGACTTGGTGAATTTCATCAACATGTTCGCAGACACTCGGCTGGAACTGCCCCGAGGCTGGGAGATCAAAACAGACCAGCAGGGGAAGGTGAGTGTGATGAATGCTCCAGGCTTTCATGGAATGCTCTGATTCACCAAGAAAAGGACTGGTGAGAATGAGGAGGAGGGTTATTGGGAAGAAGGTTTTTGTGCCTCAGAGCTACATTTGGCCTTCAGGAGGAAAGGGGGTGATAACTATCCACATCAGGGTTTCTCAAGCTCAGCACTATTTTGGAGGGTAGCTGGGCAGAGGCAACTTCTTGTGCATAATGAGATGTTAGCCAGCATCTCTAGCCTCTGCCCACCAGATACCAATGGAACACTTCCTAAGTGGTGACATTGTGGCGTGTCCCCTGGGCAGTGAAGATCATGCTTGGTTGAGAACTACTGTCTACATCTTTATAAATTTGTATTTGGGGAATGGAAAACCAGATTCTCTCCAGTGGCAGATTATTGGGTTCCCTTCTTAGACAGCTAACTCTCAGTAGATAGCATTACTGTTTAAATGGGGAATGACATTATTGCATTCCTTGTGATTTCCCTAATAAATCTTCAATTCTCCTTAAAATCTCCTACCAAACAGGAATGGGGTGAACCGGGCCTGTGCCAGGTTTCTGGCCTGCATTTGGGTTCTATGTGATCTTAATCCAAATGCTTTGGAAATCTAGCTGAGTCTGCCAGAGTAAGAATATTTTCTCTTAATCATCTTGATGTATATATAGAACAGACCAAGCAACTTACCAAAGACCTGTTCCTGCAAAAACTTTTATGAACTTCCCTAAATAAAATCCCTCCTTTGATGATCTCTGAGTGGGAAGCCGCACTGGACAGTTCCTTGCCTCCTTGTGTACCTACAAAGCCATAGTTCCCCAAAAGGACCCTGTAGGTCATCTTTGTCCCCTTGGAGCCACAGATCCTGCTCCGACAAGCCCATAAGCACGCCTGAGAACCAGAACGCTCTACAGCATGTGGGTGAAGAATGTGCCACTAATGCAAGTCCCATCCTGTGCATTATGGGATGTTTAGCAGCATCTTTGGGCCAAATCTCTGGGCCCTTCTGAAGCCAGGAGTGAGTTGCACGAGTGGTTAGGGATATGCCTTATATAGTAGTAAAGCTACCATAGTTAGAATGTACTGCCTGGAACCTTTTTAGTTAGTGGCTTTGGTCTCCACTGGGAAAAATGACAGGAATTTATATTATGACAGCTTGCAGATATGCCTTAGGGTGGGAAATAAAGCCTGAGCCAGAATAGAAAATAAAGGAGCATCTTATCAGAGCCAGGCACACCTAGTGCTCAGTAGTCTTCAGCAGCCACATTTACACATATTGCTTGACCAAGATGCCAAGAAAACACCACTATGAATCAGTGGACCAAAAGGCAGTGTTTATCATGCAAAAGCACACACTTATGTAAACAACTTGCTCAGCCTCGGATTTCTATGGCTGCAGCTTTTGCACAGGGACAGGGAGGCCCTCAAATGCAATAAGGCTCTGGCTCTCCATCTTACACACAGCAGATGACACGGTCACCTCCAGGTCATCATACTGAGAGGGGGCACAGTGACTGAGATACACACCAAAATTTTAGTCTGTTTGCATAATTTTAGCTTGAATGCATATTAAAGAGTTTCTGGCAAGACAGTTTTCTCCTAAAATTCTGTTTTGTGAAATAAAATATCATATGCAGAAAAGAAAAAAATCCAAATTTGAAATGAGAAGATTGTGTTTTACTTTCCATTTAATACAAACACTGTATGACCACACATACACACACACACACACACACACACACACACACACATTTTCACCAATTGTTTATTGATTAAAAACACACTCATAAGTGGCAGAAAGAATTTCCAAGGCATAACATGTACTGAACTGGAGTTTTAGTCCCATATTTGAAATGTACTATCACAGTTAATTTATGGTGGTCAGACAAGAGGATAGGGAGGAAAAATGGGTATAGTCCTGTGAAAGAGGACTGGTCCAACTCATCCCAAGCAAATCACCCTAGGCAAGTCACTCCACTTTTATGAGCCTTTTTTTGTTTTGTTTTGTTTTGCTTTTCATAAATAGCAATAATAATGCCTCTTTGGCCTTCATGATTTTATAAACAGAGGCAAAGAATAAATAAATTAATGTGGGAATTCACCATGGCAGGTGGGCAGCATCTGCCACTTGTCCTCTGAATACTGTAGCAAAGGTCCACCGGGGGGAAAAAAGAAACATAGGGGAAAGAGACCCCCTCATTGCCAAAGTCCATTAATGATGAGAATTGATTGAGAAAAACATTTTTGGAACACAGCCTACAAGCTCAACCCTCTAACTTGGAAAGAATGTGATGTACGGGAGACGAAGAGTTAGGAACACAATTCAACAAAAAAAAAATGAAATGATATAGCTCACTGTAAAAAGAGCCATCTTCACCACTGGCCAAACGAGGGTCCACAGTACCAAAATCACCTTCTTGTCCCTACCCTGACCAGTCTGCTTCTTGCTTTATCTATATATTCAGAGATAACAACCTTCACGTTTATTATGCATCCTGGCGGCAGGAAGCAGAAGGGCTGGAGAAAGCTGTTGGGAATGTTTGAATGTAGAGTCATCCCCCAAGGGAAGCTAGAAAGAGCTCCGAGCAGAGCCATGACACTTCAGAAGGACTGCAGCAAAGGCAAAAATGCCAACTATCTCCTTTGCCATTGGGAGAAAGGAGGACACAGCCTCCTGCCCAAGTTCCATGAAGACTGCCTGTGGACCTCACCGATGGCCTCAGGTCTAAGCAGAAGGGGACAGTTACCCTCAAGGGAGGGTGTGGGGCTTTGGGCCCCATGGGGTACTGCCTGGTGGCAGGCATGGGCCTGAGGTGGCCTCCACTATGAAATAGATAGATAACAGGACAAGAAGGAGGCTGTGAAGAGCTGCTTCCACCACGTGAAGGAAACAAAAAGCAGAAAACAAGATGAGAAGCAGCAGACCAAAGAAAGTGGGCTAAAAAATAAACACTGTTGAATTTTAGGGAAAACCAAACTAACAACTTGGGGGTAAAACAGAGCAGCAATGACGCTAAGGGAAATCAAGTCATTTAACAGAGCATGCAAACATGGAAACAGCACCCAAAGCAGAAGGAACCACACCTTCCCATGGTCCTTAACCCATACGCCCCACTAGATACTTTGCATTGTCCTCTTCATTGTCTATTTACTTTTTTTCTTTTTTGCGGGGGTGGGGGGAACCAGAGATTGAAATCTGGGACACTCAACCACTGAGTCACATCTCCAGCCCTATTTAAAGACAGGGTCTCACTGAGTTGCTTAGAGCCTCACTTTTGGTGAGGCTGGCATTGAACTTATGATCCTCCTGCCTCAGCCTCCCAAGCTGTTGGGATTACAAGCGTGTGCCAACATGCCCAGCACTCACTGTCTATTTCTTCTGGCTTGATTTTAAGCTCCTCGAAGGCAGGAATCAGTTTTGCTCACTGATGAAACCCCAAGAACCTCTTACCTTAGTTTTGGATGAATGATTTACAGAGATTCCTGAAGAAGAAACCAGAATATAATAAGTACAGCAACAGTAACTGAATAGTAAATATTGACATTGATTAAATTAAATATGTAAATGTTAAATAAATATTTAAATAAAATTTCACTAGACTACAATAAAATTATTCAAGTGGGAAGATTAATTCATGGATTTACAGTAAAAATAGTTACATATACTGCATAAAGAGGTAAAATTACTATCTGTCAATAGAATATTTTTCAAACAAAACAAATTAGTTAAAATAAATTCTCTATCTGTATATGCTCTGGAATGTCTTTAAATAGACGTTTCCTAAAAATCTTGTCAAAACATACCCATCATAATATAAAAGTTACCTAGAAAAGAGTAAAACTCAGACAACTTCAAGTTTCCCATCCAAAAACTAAACTGTAGAAATCCACAGAGCAACCACTGCAAGATATTCCTAAGAAAAGGTTGCAGCCCAGTTGTCCTATTATTTGGTCATTTATGTATGAAGACAACAGAAAACCAATCTCATGTGCAATATCAGAGCTGAACCTATTCTCTCACTGATCCTGATCAAATGCCAAAGCCATTCTCCAGATGGATCATTTACGAAGCAAAACAAGAAATTTAAAAAAAAAAAAAGGGAAAATCATAATAGAAAAAGGACTCATGGTGAGCATTCAAGTTAATCTAATACAGAAATGTAAATTATGACTGTTACAAGGCTTTAAAATATACCAGAAACCTGAGTAAAATATGGGAAAAAATGCATAATTAAATTGGAAGAGTGTATTCTAACTATCTGGATCAACATTCCCAGACTGGAATAAAACGATGAGGAAGTGACAAGAGAGCGACCCTAAGGAAGGAAGGAAAGTTGTGCTAAAGTTGTGCTAAACTCCAAGCAGGTGCAAATTGGGTAATTTACAAAACAAAGGTTAAATCCAGTTATTTGACAAACTTAACAGGCAACTATGTGTACCATGTAAAACAAGGTCTTTCTCTTCCAAATTCCTACAAAAGTTAAAATCAAACAAAATATAGTCTGTGTAGCAAAACACACACACACACAAAAAAAAGTGTCCACAAAGAAAATGTAAATAATAAAAATAAGATAACAAAAGTAAAGCCAAACATAGGACTTCTGCTAATAGGTAGGTATAGGGTAAAAGTCACATACCAAAAGGAAAATGCTTTCAGATTTGGTATCAAACAGATTCAACTTATAAAAAAGACATACCTAAGTAATGATTCAGGAAGTTTAAAAATAAAAGAGTAAATATTAACATGGAGTGAAAACAATAACAGAAGAAAAATTGGTAGTATATTCATATATTAAGGAGAGTTCAAATCTATAATCATTAAATGTGATCAGTGAAAGATTTAATATTAATCAGTGACAAAGTTAAAATAAATAAACAATGATCATATAACTTCTAGGTTACCACTATTATTACTATTACTATTATTAAACACCACTATTATTACTATTATTTTACTTGTTCTAATTAGTTATACATGCCAATAGAATGCATTTTGAT